CCATAAAACACCATCCTCAGCCCCGCCGCAGCCCCCTCCAATTTTTTGGGGGGTTCCCCCCGGTGTTTCCCCACCTTTTCCAGCAGCGCTTTGCGGAGTTTACGCTCCTCTTGCACCAGCACGAACATTTCTTTGTGAACGGCGGCCGCCAAGTTGAGGTCCAGCTTTTCGGGGCAAGCCGCCATCTTACAGATGAGTTCCTCGTGGGAGAAGACGCAGTAACGGCGCAAACGTCGGTAGTGCTCGATGCACTGCCTGCCGGCAGGCAGCTGCAGGCAACGCCGGGCATTAGGGTGAACCCCCAAATTTGAGGAACCCCCCCCGTACCCCAAAACACATCCCCCAACAGAGCCGGACATCCCTGGCCTGAACTGTGGCGGTGGACCCCCAAAATCCCAGCTCAACGCTTGGAGCCCCCCAAGGATCCTCCTCCCCGAGCACCCAGCCCAAATTTGGGATCTTCACCCCAGATTTTGGGGTTCACCCTGGGATTTTGGGGGGCGCAGGGGCTCACCCAGTCAGCGGTGCAGAAGTTGACGGCCTCGGCGAAGTTGTAACCCTGGTTGAAACCGCTGTGGTACGCCCGGGGGAAGGTGATGACGAACTCGCCGGCGCACTGGTTGGTCCGTACGACCTAAAAAGGGGGACAAAATTCGGGGTGAGGGAGGGGGGATAAGGAGTTTTGGGGGGGCGCTGAGGGGACCCCGATACTCACAGGGACACCGTGGGCCATGAGGGTGTTGGGGTTCATGAGGGTGACGAGTTGGTGGAGCAGGTCAGGCTGGCTCTCGAACAGCTCCGGCGTCAGCTTCTTCATCACCTCTTCCAGGTGCTCCGCCGCGAAGGAGGGAACCCCGTACCACGTCTTGGGCTCGCCCCTGGGGGGGTACAGGGTCAGGGGCACCCCAAAAACCCCTCTTCCCACCCTGTACTACAGCTTGGGGCACCCCAACACCTCCTCCCACCCCGTACCACGTCTTGGGCTCGCCCCTGGGGGGGTACAGGGTCAGGGGCACCCCAAAAACCCCTCTTCCCACCCCATACCAGGGCTGGGGCTCACCCCTGGAGGTGACAGGGGCAGGGGCACCCCAAAAAGCCTCCTCCCACCCCATATCACACCTTGGGCTCACCCCTGGGGAGTCACAGCACCCCAAAAACCTCCTCTCGCCCCATAACCTATCTTAGGCTCATCCCCAGGCGGGGGGACGAGGTCAGGGGCACCCCAAAAACCCTCCTCTCACCCAACCCCCCCCCCACAAGCCCCCCCCCAGGGGGG